AGTATGATCATTCTTATATCTTCACATAAAATGAATCATGAGTAAACTTAAATCCTTCTCCATCCTTTAAAAGTATTTTTCCTCTAGAATTAAAAATGAAGACGACTCTTAACTGAGTATTTCTATTTTGGTACATTCAGCTCAATTTCTAACTCTGATCCTATCTAAATATGATTAATCATTCTTATCAAAAAAAGTCTTAAACTAGTTTTGAATAAATAAAGTGATTCATATTCATTGCCAAAACACACCAGGAAGTTTTTTCTTTTCCTACTACTTTCAATGGAATAAAATAACTCAATATATGCGTAGGTTTGGAATATATTCAATGTTCAATATTCACCTATTCTGTTCAAACAAAGACACAAGCAGAAAAGAAAATACTACGGTATGACGTTCAACAATACAACTGACTGCTCAACTATTCCAGTTTTGTGGAACTGCATTCACCGTTGACAAAAATGTGTCAGCCAATGATAGGTAAAATTCTGTCTAATAGCTTTTTTAAGTGATCTGTTTAAAACAAATGTGAACGTATATAACTGTGTCACTTTTCCGGGCATAATGTAATCCACGGGAACCTTAGAATAAAAGCCGTTCACAAAATTAGGTCAGTCACTTATTTTGTTGTCTTTTGTAGGGTTTAAAATGCATCCCACTGAGTGAGGTTGAGTATTCGAAATAACACGAAAAATAAAAACTAAGTATACAAAGCTAATTTACAGAAGCAAACTCTAAAACTGTTGGAAAACTGCCGTATTATTGAAACTATGATTCTGCAAGAATAATGAGTATGCAACTGACAGATAGTAGAAAAATTACTTTTTCATAAACCTGAACACAATCTGAAGAGTGTCAAAAATAGCATATGAAACCCACTATCTACTGTCACTGCATTTACTAAGCAAGGTGCACTTTAAATGCCCTGGCATCGAACTGTTATACTTCATATTCTGTGTCAAAAAAGTTGTACCTCTGACCAGTGACCGCCCCATACGATTCTAAGTTAATTTTAGTAACTTAAAGTATGATAATTGAAGTTAGGCATTACTTTGAGTTACTATAGAACAACCAGACTTATTACCAAGTTGGGTGTATTTTCATATAACAATAGCTGACGTCAACTTGACTTATTCATCCATAACTTGCTTTTGACTGGACTCAAAGCGTTTATCCATAAGTAAATTATTAGATATACACTGTTAATCGGCTTTTGATAACAGTAAAAAGGCAACAGCCAGTCGAAGTAAAGCTATGTTAAATTATACAAAAAAGGAATGGTAACAAACTGATAAATAGTAGTAAGTTATTTGTACATGATATAAAGATGGAATGTAGATATATTTATGTGCTGTGATGAACTCTGAGCAATATTAAACAGCCTCAACTACCTGCTCCCTTCATAAATCCCTGAAATATTTCGTCGGAACTTGACCTACCTCCAAGCTGTAAGCATGCTTCCTATTGACCGCCAACATTTTATTCTCACAAAATTCCTAATAATTAAATCCCAAAATTACAACAGAAAACAAACTCCATCTTGATAACGCGTAATACAGTTTGATAAGTGGACTTTATCCGTTACCTAATGGAGATCTGTTAGTGCTTATTTCTATGACAGTTTCTTATGTTCCCCGACACTGACCAAATTCCAATACTCTTGGTGTATACAAGAACAGGAAATAGAACGAAATCACTGTTAAGTGGTAAGCATTTCAGTGCATTGTGACTCAAAAACATTCAGGGTTTAGTTTTTTTGCTAGATGTCACACTGTCAACTTGAACATAAACAACCATTGCCAGTGAAATTTTCAAAGGTAAAAAGAAAACTTCATGGGTAAGTATATCTAATAAGTCGTTGATTTCTGAGGTTTGTTGGAATTCTGTTTATTTGAGGTGATATCTATCACTAATTTGAAGATCCTGAGTTCTACCTCTCGCAGGGTCGTGAGTGCTTACTGATGAGGAGTTTTGTAGTGGAACAAAACAGCTGTTCACTGAGCCCAGTTTTTCAATGGTTCCTCAGCCTATGTCAGTCCGTGATGAAAACTACTCCGTAATAAATCATTGTAATTCATTCTTTACAGCGTCGGAGCATCAGTTTGGTTGTTTATAACTCTAATCATACCATTGCCTTTCTTTACATTTCTCTTCATTTATAACCTTATCATACAGACACTCATCAACAGCTCCCTACGCTGGCTCGATACTAAAGATCAGATGGCCAGAATAATAAGAATAAGCAACAAGGAATTCTGGTGTGGCAACGAACCAACCAAGAACCTATCGTCCAACAAATATACAGAAGGAAGTGGAGATGGATTGAACATACACTGAGAATGCCGACTAGAGACATCACGCTCCAGGTCAGCCTCCTCCAGTGGAATCCAAAGAGGGAAACAACGAGTTGGGCGTACGAGGCGAGGGTGGCATAGAGAAGATGATATGAGGAAGAAATGAAAGCTTGTAGGCAGTCATGGTGCCAGATTCAAAATACTGCAGAGGAGAGAGTGCGATGGAGACGTGCTACTGAAGCCTTATGTTCTACTTGGAACCCAAGGGAAAAATAATGATAATAATAAATAAGAGTATCTGCTCCTCTTAAAAGGCTGTAGGCGATAGATTACAGACCACTTGACAAAGTTATAGTACATTCTAATGTACTGTATTTTGGTGCTTGATGTTAGGAGTTAATCGGTACAAAACCCCATCGGATTTAGGTCTTATGCATTCTGGCACTCGTCAGCAAGGTGTAATTAAAACCATAAGGAGATCGATGTCCACTCGAGGACTCGAACCCACAACACTCAGAACTTAAGTCACAAACTTTACCATTAAACAGGTAAGGCATCAACTGATCCCACTGGTGGTCATTTCTTTTACATAACCCAGTTCTGTAGGACGTAAGCTGTGGTTAGAACAGCTTGGTGGTAGCATCTTCGAGTTAATTAGTGAGTGGGACAAATTTGAATCCTGTGACGGACATCACTTTCCTCAGGGTTATATATATATCTTGTTGGTGACTGGGAACGAACCTGAAATCTAGGTCGAGCGGATCTTCCTGTCGATTGATTCCTATTATCTAATGCCATACGTATATTCACTGTTCACTCAAAAAGGCAGGTACAAACATTGTATGATTAGACCAAACAGACTGAAAAAAGTATTTACCTTTACAGTTTTAAAAGAGGTATTGCTGGTATCTTTTACATAACATTCCTTATTCAAGCTCATCTTTTCCACTTACTTGTGCCTGCTTACTAATAGAAATAAGAATATTAGAATGATGTTATAATGCACACTTCACGGAAAAAGCTGAACCCCTTAGCGACTGAATGAAGATTGGGATATGCGGACTACATACGTAGTAATTACAGTGGTCCTCTTGCTGTGATAAACCACTTGGATGGTGGCATCTCTCACAAGCAGATGCACAACCAGAAGAAAATTATCACAGACAGAATAACTGAATACGCTTAATCTCTTATTTTAAGTTAAATACCTATGTTCTTACATCACATTTGACCAAAGTTCATTTTGTATATTAAGTAATTTACAGACCTCAGTTTTGAATACAAGTTACTGACTAACTAAATAATTGAAGTTCTGTATACTAGTCTAATTGATAACTGTCATGACCAACTAGGCTGATTTTTCACAGCATGACAGAGTGGACGATACAATATCCTGGTTCATTGATTGTGTATCAATCATAAGTTGGATTATTTAACAAATCGATAATAAAACGAACAACATAAGTAGATCTTCGTAACTGTCTAACATATCTTCAGTGCTCTATATCGTATGGGATATTTCTACTAAATAAAATCTATGGAATCAAGGCGCTTTGTTTTAGAGTAATAGAAGAACAATTCACCGTCAGGGACTAATTTTGACACTACACACTTCAAGTCATTATCATAGAATGAATATCTAACCTGACGTTATCTGAATTAGACTGGTAGGTAGACATGAATATGCACTGATAAATGTAACATAATTAACATTGGCTTCGATAACAGTTTTTGTTAGAGACAAATCCTTATCAAATTATCTATGAAAATCTAGTGGTAAAAGAAGGATATTTCACCTTACTCCATGCATCCATAATGGTATGCCCGATACCTTCGTTTCCCTAGTATCGATGTCAGACGTTCCATGCAAACATATCTGATATTTCTTTCCAGATGAAATATAAGGGTACAGATATACCATCTGACAAAGTTGTCAAAGTTATCAGCTCCATATTTAAGTAAAATAGAGGAAACCAATTTCGCCCATAAACGCTCGGCAGAATTTGTAACTTAAATTACCACACTAATTTCTTCAATTCAAAGTGATCCGCAAAATAATGCAGGTATACAAATGAATGAATGCGCCTTACACTGTAGACATATTAACAATAAAGGAACTTTACAACCTTGAAAATAATATTCAAATCAAGAATCTGTACAGCACAGTAAAGTAAATTATACTAAACTCGACTTTCCGTTTTGTCTAACTTTTCTTGGGATTGCAGTTTTGCCATCTACCTATCTGCATTAGCAGATATCAAAGTAGTAATTAAAACTTGATTGAATTTCACAGTTTTTTTGCTGGAACAAACTTCTCAATGTGGGAACAAATAATTTGGAAACCAAAATGCATAGTTTTGTTCAGCTTAAATAAGTGAAAATAACATTTATTCGAAGTGACATTTTAAAAAGGGTGTGAAAACTTTTGGCTATATACCCAAGATCATGTCTGAAATAACGATTTATATAGTGATCCGATATTCAGATACATTTTGTTTTACTAAAGTATATCGTTTTTAGACAACAGGCGCATATTATGTGCATATTTTTAACTCCAAGAATATATCCAATTAATATAAATTTGTCTTAGAACTGTTAGTACCAGAAATTCTAATTTTCCCTTTGGGGACTAAAAAATTCTCCAAATGTGATTCACAAACTATCCACAGTATTTAAAGAAACAGTGACAAAACTCAAAAAACTAACCTGAGGCATTTTAACTGAAAGCTGAGCATGAAGTTTATCCCTTTCCCGTTCAACTTCACTGAGTCGCATTCTTGTTGCATTGACTTGCTCTTGTGATTCTCGTAGACCTTCCATTAATCTGTCCCGTTCATCTAACATGCTCAATAGCATATCTTCAACATTTGTACCATCTCCGCTGGTGAGTGAATCTCTATCACCCTGTAAATGTAATTATTTTTAATCAGATAAAAAATATGATAAGTTGGTCCACATGTTTCCTTAAATGTACCAGTCAGGAAAATTTCATGTTTCTTGTAAAGTTGTCCCAAAACCCCAATGAAAATATCAATCAAAAGAGATATAGGATCATATACTGGTATGAACTTGGCTTGTGTATTAGAGACTTCACCTGGCCTCTGTTAATCTTTAAAAGTTTATCTTGAGATATAAAAAGTAGATGGAGATTGGTACATGAGTGTCTGAAAACAGATTATGTAAAACGTGCCAACAGAAATTCAAAACTAAATTTGCTTTCAGGTAATCATATTTCCAAAGGAGTATTGCATAATCTTCGCAATCAAAAAAACATGTTCTAGGGCATTTCTGTGTGGGATTTTTATGTGAAAGCACGTGCTTTGTACCTCTGTGTCACTAATGTATATTACAAAGTGCGTGTATCTTTGTAAAGATGGGATATACACACAAGATACGCTGATTAGTCAATAAACAGTAAGTAACTTCATGTTTTCGAGTTCTAAGCACTCATCAACTTTTATTGGTCAGTTTGCAATCTGGTCATCAAGCTAGGTGACTCAAGATTGCGATGAACTTTGATTGATGTTAGCTAGTTGGAGGTGACTGCTAGGAAGCTCCGAAACTAGATATCGTGCTTATTGGCAGTTGTCAGCTAATACTCACGAAAACTAGCCCCAGGGCTTCCCGTCAGTCGCCTTCAACTGACTAACATATGCATAAAATTACTACTTCTGACATTCACTTAATTTCAGTGACGAGCAAGGTTGGGCAAACGTTGATCACTTGAGGGTAATAAATACAGCTGTTGATTTCTTGGTGCTCAGCTATTCATTTAGAGATGAAAATAAAAGTAATGATAGGAAGGTGATTGAATTTCAATAATAAACCGAGATGTGGCAGAAATCTAGCTGAAGGCCAACTAACTATTTGCCTGACACTTCAGAGACTGAGCTATGGAACCAATTTACTGTCCAAGCCTTTGTTTGAGCTTAGTTATCCGAAATTCTCTAAACTTGGACTATCCTAGGCAGTCTCATCAACAAAAACTGACTTTCAGCTGAACAACCTTTAATCTTTTCGCTCCCATGAGATTTCAACTAAAAACCACCTACATTGTCATATGTATGTACCACTTCGCGTTAACCAAGAAATGAAGATTTTCCTGTATGTTAGTTTATGCGTAAATATATCTGAACTTCAGACCATTCCGATAGTCTTATCTACTGCGATGACGTAATCAGAGTGACTTAGCTGTTTCTAGCTAAATTTCATGCTTCAATTGATTCATCCACTCATACAAAATCTTTTAAATAATAGTTTAGACTAGTGTTGCCTACATACATACTATGAAGCATATATTCATTTTTATCACAAGATAATTCATGAATGCTCATAAGTATTTTAGTGACATAGTTGAGTTAGGTAAACCGACTTGATTACGAATCGCTAGAAAATATTTTGAAAAGTAAAGCAGAAAAATCTATTCATTGGGCCACTACTATTATGACCTCATAGTTTTAACTATCCAGACTAATCAACTAACTAAGTTATTCAGTATGACCTGCGAATTAAGTTAATCAAAACTGAAGTGGTCCAATTTCAGTAAACACAGCTCGATGTATTCGGCAGTCATTAACCATGAAAACTTTTCATTAGGACTTATTTTTGCATTGACCAGTCACTAGAGAGTCACTAGTCTCATGCTGTCTAATCCCTAAGTGCTGATCAGATTTTTTCAGTCACTTACCAATAGGGTCAAAAAACTAAGAGACTCATTATCATGATGGCTATTTGATCAGTTGGTTGGAGGCAATCAGCAGGTGGCCTATAACCACCTAATAAGACATATTCACAAGCTGATGGGATGTCTTGTTTTCTCTCGTGTTAATAGCTGTTTGTGAAAATGTGTAAAGCTATCACTGATGCACCATTCAATCCCTTATGAGTGTCAAACACGATTTCTCCCAAACATGTAGAAAAAACAGTGAACTCTTCAACCCCATTTTGTATACTGTGTATAAGGAAGCAAATCAATGTTAGACTGGATAGAGGTAACGATCTTATGTCTTAATTTATTTTAATTGGCCACAATATCCAAATTCATATTCTTGTGCAATTATAAAATAACTACCATAAAAAGTGCTGTCGTTTACCAAACATGCGTTAGATTTTATTACCAACCATAAACCCTATTAGCCAATATAAGGGATCTTCACCTATGGAATCTGATTCCAAACAAGTTACAGTTGATCACTACAACTCTTTACAAGGTTATAGATGCACATTGTGGAGTCCCATACCAATACAAAACATCTATGCAGTGCTCCTTAGTTTTCATTAGTTCTCCAACTGATGTCAGTTAGTGATAAATTCCAAATTGAAATCAGTAAATTCCCACAAAACACCAAACTGTTTACTGAATTCTGTATTATAAGATGAACACTAAAATTCGATGCTTTTGTATTCAGTAGTACATTTGCTTGCAATAAATATAATTATATTTAAATTACACTTCATGAGTGCAGAAAGCTCATGCTTCATTTCACTGCTATATGAACTCTTCATCTGCCTACATGTATGATATCTAAAAAGAACAAATTGCCTGTAGTTGTGAATCAGTGTCCACATGAGCCTCTTTAAGTAAACTAAACATATAGCTCTGATATCCTGAATGAAATAATGAAATGTATTCGTCAAGTTATCTGTCTAAATTATAGTTCTGTCAACATTCAATGCAATCTGCGTCACTTTACATCCTTTATAATAACTAACATTCAAGTGTATGAGGGGTGAAAACCGCAAGAAAAGAATAAGGTAAGTGAAGTGTTGTACTAGCTTCGATAGTGATCAAAATTTTTAACTGCAAACAGTTGTCGCTTTGGGAACAAGTAAGTATGTATTTGTCAGTAGTTAACCGTATCTGCCCCACTGTTTATTTCATTCGCGGGAATGTTCAAAGTTTACTGCTGACAATTTATTTTTTTAGCTTGCTGTTCTTTTCTTAACTAAGTGAATTTGTCAAAAATTTACACACTACTGGCGTATTTTCAAATAGACTTTTTATCAGACAGTCAAAAAGGATTATCATACTGAATAGTTGAATTTTGCAGTTATTTATTTCAACGGTATTTACCGTTAGTTTCGCTACGAAGTTATTTGTTGCTGCATTTCTCATGATGTCGGACATTTCTGTAGTAATGTACTAACCAGGTCAAGCCAAATTGAAAGTCCTATTTCAGCATCTCACTTAACTAAAGCGGTCAAGAAATCGGTGATATGACCAATGTCAGAAACCTAGATACGTGAGAATCTAGTTGTATAACGGTGCTGGAACAATAAAATTCGACTTAGTGGAGACGTGGCTCTCCAGTCATTGATAGAGGCATTTGTAGATTTGGCAACACCAGTTTGCTTCTTGTGAAGTTGACAGATTGTCTCAAAATAGTATCCTGAGCCTTCGTTTTTAGCCTGATAGCCATGACTAGAATCTGAGTCATATTACAACCTTGGAGTATGTGTGTATATTTTCCAACACTGAAGAACACTTCATCACTTCTTCCATGGACACACAAAGTGTATGTGACCAACAACTTAATTACTACACTGAACATATTAGTCTTGTGACATAGTCTTATTTCTAGATATTTTGAAAGAAAGAAAAAGACTAGTGCATAAAATCAGTTATTCACGCAACCGAAGCAGCTTTATTACATGAGATTTACTCACAACGTAAAGAACAGTTGGGCATCAGGAACTTTAGGCTGTGTTTCCTAGACTGAGTGAAGTGCTTAATTTCGTTATCAAATTATGTGGTGAATTAACTAGAATCTCTAGAGACTTAAAATTTACAAGTGAAATTAAAAACAAGTTGTAATTTGGTCATCGAAGATGAGACATGTTAGGAGATTAGCTTCTGCATTAGATTGTTACATGCTCTTCTTGTAGTTGCATTGACCTCATCAAATTAATTCACAGTAGACAACGAACTCAACTATCTAAAATGAATAACTTTATAGTATAATTGCTTTTACATGATGCCGTCGTTAATTGGACTGAATTGATCGGTTTCTATTAGAATATGGGCTGTTGTACGGATGCCACGATATTGCCAGCTTTCCAATTATATTAATGATGGATCGTGGCTAGCAGTGGAATCCAGGATGCGCATTTCGTCCTATTTGGGACTCGTCATGTGGATGTACCTGCTTCCCAGTGAGTGCTGTTGTTCCCACCCGGATTCACAAGGATATCCACAAACGACATGAATTTGATTTCACTGGATAGACACACTAAAACTCAGAGCGACTTTATCTCAATCTGAAGAAAGTGGGGATGCAGCCTACTGGACAAAAGATCAGATCAAGAAGGGGAGCAGATGTAGGTTCACACCACTCACTATCTAGTGCAAGGAATCTGCCTTCAATATCAAGTTGAAAGCCTTCACAGAAGTTGGTGATAGACCACAGTTCAAGTACAATACTCGGGTATTGAAGGACGAAACTACAAATGATATCTTCACGTCAGCCATCAAGACAAAGTGGGAGATGTCGAGGAACATCGCTGAAGAAACCTATGTGAATGAGCACTGGGACTCTTTGAAACGGATGTGGAAAAAAGCCTGCACAACCGTATTAGGAAGGAAGAAGAAAGAAGATAAGGAACAGGTCTCGACGAACACATGCTAAGCTGATAGAGAAGAGGAGGATGGTGAAGCAAAAGATAAACCGGTGAAAGGATGAACGACGAGAAGAGGATCTTTGTACAGTATATGAAACACTGGACAAAGAAGTGAAGAAGAGTGCACGCGAAGACAAAAGACACTTCTACGAAACACTAGCAAGTGAAGCAGAACAAGCTGCAGGTGAAAGACCTGACAACATTGTATCAAATAACTAGGTTACTATCTGGGAAGAGACCAACACAGATGAAACCAATAAAAGATGATGACGGAAATTTAATTACGAAAGAAGAGAAATAAGGGAAGCAATGGGCCGACCACTTCAAGAAGCTCTTGAATCGATCACCATCTGCACTTCGTCCAGGAATACCACCTGCAGCCGCTGAACTACAAGTGAACGTAAATCCTCAAACAAAAATGGAAGTCTTGAACGCCATAAAGCTACTGAAATGCGGGAAAGCAGCAGGACCAGATAGGATCCCACCAGAAGCACTGAGAAGAGACTCAGAGACAACAGCGTACATCCTCACATAGCCATTGCAGAAGGTCTGGAAGGAAGGAATGAAAGGTACCTGCCTACTGGTTGGAAGAAGGGTTACCTTATCAAACTCCCGAAGAATAGAGACCAAAGTCTTTGCAAGAACTGGTGCGGAATCATGCTCCACTCCTGTCCAACCTAAGCAAAATATTACGCCACATCATCCTGGAGGGAATAAAGGATGCGTTGGATTCAAAATTACGACCGGAACAGGCTGGCTGGATTCAGAAAGTACAAGTCATGTGCGGAACAAATTCCAACCCTACGCTACACATCATCATAGAACAGAACATATGATGGCAGTCAACCCTCTACCTCAACTTCATCGACTTTGAAAAGGCCGGCCTTTGACAGCGTTGACCGAGAAGTAGTTTGGAAGTTGCTTCAATACTGCGGCTTTAGTGCCACAAGCCTTTATCAATCTCATTCAACAACTATATGCTATATGAAGACGCCACATGCCAAGTAATTCACAATGGGAAGCTCAGTGATGCCTTCGAAGTGAAGTGTACACAGGAGTAAAACAAGGCTGCCACCCACTGTCACCATTGATCTCCCTGATTGTGGTCGACTGGATTATGCAGCAAACAGTGAGGAGCGAGAAGAGGGGGAAATATTCTAGAAGATTTGGATTTCACCGATGATTCATGTTTAATGTCGCACAAACTGGAAGATCTACAGGCAAAAACTAACACGTTGACAGAAGAGGCAGTGAAGACAGGACTTCAAGTGAACGTAGAGAAGACAGAGGTGATGAAGATACTCAACCAACAACAGCATCAACAACAACCACCGATCACCATCAACAGGAGAAACCTAAAGGAAGTAGTCTCCTTTACCTACCTAGACAGCACCGTTTCAACTATAGGTGGCAGCAGAGACGAGGATGTCAAAGCCAGGATCGGAAAGACAGCAAGACAGGTGTTCATTAACCTGAAACCAGTGTGGAGATCTTCTGCTGCACTCAGCATAAAGTGTGGACAAGATCCGGATTTTCAACACCAACGTCAAGTCAGTGTTTCTATATGGTTTAGAGACTTGGTGCGTTACGAAAGCATTTCCAACAAACTACAGATATTCATCACCAACTGCCTACGCTGGCTCAATACTGAAGATCAGATGGATGGCCAGAATAACAAGAATAAGCAACAAGGAATTCTGGTGTGGCAACGAGCCAACCAAGAACCTATCACTCAATAAATCTGCAGAAGGAAGTGGAGATGGATTGGACATACACTGAGAAGGCCGAGTGGGGACATCACGCACCAGACTAGGCTAGGCCAGGCCAGGCCAGGCCCTCGAGTGGAAGCCAGATGGGAAACGACGAGTTTGGCATCTGAGCCGAGGGTGACACTGAGGAGATCGTGGGAGGAAGAAATGAGAGCTTGTGGGTTGTCGTGAAGCCAGGTTTAAAAGATTGCAGAGAAGAGAGTGCACTGGAGACGTGCTACTGAAGCCCTATGTTCCACTAGGAACCCAACGGACAAATAATATTAATAATAATTGGCAAACCCAAAGTACTTTTGTAACCTCAGAAACCGATCATATGTTGTTATCAGATAAAATTTCTTTGTGTTTGTAATAACTGAACCTACTTTATCTTCTAACCTTCAACAAGCTATTTACATTCACAGGATTTCACTCATTATATTTTACTCACTTTTAGTCACGAGTTAGACAACTAGAATCTTTTAAGGTGTAATTGTCCCTTTCCTAGCTAACCACAGGACTAGTTTAACTCAACTTCATGGGTGTTATTTATTCTCAGTAGGCCAGTGTTAGCAGAAATTATGTATTATTACAGTTCTCTTATTGAAAATGAAACAAGCGGTATACACATACACATGGATATTGAGAGAAGGATAAACAATTGATGTAATCATAACAAGGTTTTGATTACCTGAGATCCAACATCCTCTGTAATTGTCGGCATAACATCACAAATCATTTTGTACAGTTAGCCTTATAAATAAGTGAAATTATCACATCTACAATCAAAAAACAACAATAAAGTGTGAGAATTTATTAGGATTGGAAGAAAATAATCTAAGACATAGCGAACTGTACCAAAGCGTAGAATAAATACTAGAGTGAATCGATGAATATTTATGCATTCATTCATTTCACAGTGATAGGCGTAACGACTTATGAAATTCCGCATCATTCCTCTTATAGGAAATCAACCTGCTGAAATAATTCCAAGTGTTAAAATAAATTATGACCTAGTGGAAAGGGAATGTCATACTCAAACGCTAGGAATTATTTACACTCTAAACACCAATGTGCAATCAAATTAGAGATAAAACGTTAACATATGAAGGTTTTTATACTCAATTAGACAGTAATTTTTTTTCAATTCTTCAGGTCTACTTTTTTAATCAATAACAGAAGAACCAGAAGAAACTATTTTATGGCTTCCTGATTTTTGTGGAGTCCCTAGTACAAGGAATTTCACTATAAAAAATCAATTTAATCCCTTGAATTCGGGTACCAGAGAAATCTCTGCGAAAGTGAAATCCTAGCATATGTTTGAATTCTTGATCTCAACACTAACAGTTTTGTAGGGACTATAGAAAATCTTTGTAAACTAAATTCACTATCGTCTTAATGTAACCCATATATATTAGTGCTATTTCTGCTGGGGGCATTCAAAATGACAATTCAGTAGGAGACATAATGTTACTTCCCGAATTCTCTAGTCCCAACAACCAAAATCTTCTGAACATCAACTAGTACTCCAGTCGAACAAGTCGACAGCACGCCTAGGTTCGTGTATCGAAGATGACCAGTAGAAAAAGCAATATACGTACAGAAAGCAAAATCAGTACGTTACTCAGTATCTATGCTTTCGTATATATCTGTAAAATACACGAAAAATTCTTACTGAAATTGCATATTCACTATTTTTGTTTTCATCTATAATAGTCATCCTCAGTATTTCACTCAGTCACTGTAAACAAACTTCTAACAGATTTTATTTTAACCAGCTTTAAACAGTGATTGTAACACTGATCTTATTAGCCCTGGGAAACAGAATGCCGCAAATAACGTGTTGCTGCTTCTTTTATTTCAAAATGTTTCTCATTCAGTAAAGGTAAATTCTTGTATGATGAAGCTCACGACTTTTCATCATTTGGTCATTTTCAAAGTAAATAAATTCAAAGAGACTTTGAAAATTTACTACTTATATAAAATGACGGTGGTTATCATTAGCTGAAGGTAATTTAGAGTTCAAAAAAGGTATTCTGTGGTCTACAGATTAAGGATTTAAATTTAAATGTACGTCTCCTTTCACGAAAATTTATTAAAAATCCCCAACCAACAGTCAGTTGTTTTTCTTTTGTGATCACAAGTAAACTCTATGCGGTTCTCGTTTGTGGTGCCAAATTCATACAAAATCTCTACTCAGCTTTTATCCATTATTTATGAATGTAGTCAACGCACTGTGTACAGAATTAAAGCGCATATTGTGAGGAAATAAAACTTCATCTCATATAGTAGAAGTTAAAAGCAACAGCATTATAGAATCTTATTCTTAAGGTTAGCGAAAACATTATTCTAAAGATACTTAAGAGATATCATAATCATCCGAGTAATGGAACAACATATTGTATCCCTGTTCATATAACTTACAGAAAATCCACTCATTCACCGAGCATAGCATCAAAATGGGTGAATAGACTTGAAACAATAATCCTTTTCAATATCTTTATTTCTAAAGCCTCAAAATCTTGTTCAAATTCGAAATCATTAGTTATAAATACATCTTCAGTTTAACTTTAACGCAGTAGGAGAGAAATTGCTAAGTGAAGTGAAAGTGTATACTTTAAGTATAGAATAACTGATGTTGAAATCATGAAATGATACCAACAGATGGAAAACTAAAACAAAAGATGTTAAGAATTAATAGTACTGCTATCCACAAATCTCACACTTGGATCTTCGTAGTATAATTCTGAGCAACAAAAAGATCGTTAAACTCATCATGAATCAAATGTCTGTCTGTCCGACTGAAGGACAGCAAAACGTCAACTTTCGTGTCCCTTTAATTTCTGAGTTACTTAATCAGAAATGTTATTCTATGCGCGGGGGGCTAATTTGATGATAACTACTCTCTGAAGGTGATAAATACGTTTTTTCCCAAAGAGACAGAATATTAGGCACAACCTCTGACTTGACCAGGAAAGATAGCTTTTAAACTGCTGAAACATCAGTTTTAAAGGGTATGGAATAATTTCCATCCTGAACTGAAAATCATAAAGAAAAGATATTACATTGATCTGTTTGAGTTGGATGACAGTGATCGATACTCGTTTCTTAATAGTACAGCATTCCCAACGATGCTGTTTGTAGAAAGTAATCCACTGTGTTTAACATAAACATGTATGTAGCGATTCAAAAATGGGATCATATCAAAACTGTCCTCGCATACCACATCGATTGATTAAAATATCGATGGATTAATATGACGCAAAGCGGAACATTTTCTAAATGAAATGGCAGTTTGCAAGTCTTATGCCATAACTGTCTCAAGATAATATGAAAATCTAATGAATAACAATAAAACAAAATGGCTAGAAAGGTGATCGAGAAAAATTGTTCGATAAATGACTGAGAGCATCATATTTACACCTGCACTACGTACTATTTTGATGAAGTGATCGCTTTCAAACTAAATAAACAGGGTAGTGACTAGCAAAGAAACGCAGAATACACACTTCGTCTTGTTTGGGATTCGTCAGCTGGATGTACCCGCCTCCCAGTGAGTAATGTTGTTCCCACCGGGATTTCAACTTGAGACCGACCGCCTTAAACGCCAGGGCGTTATCTACTAGACCACCGACCCATAACAGTACAAGCAATAATACTAAAACTCTACCCGTCGCGCAAGAAGTGGCGTTTGAAGCGATTGCTCACCAGTCGGAATCCCGGTGTGAACATCACTCACTGGGAAGCAAGTACATCCATCTGACGAGTCCCAAATAGGACGAAGTGCGCATCCTGGATTCCTCTGCTACTCACTTTCCATCATTACTATATAATTGAAGCACAGGCAATATCGAGGCATCCGCACAGGAGTCCAATAGAGACCGATCAATTCTGTCCAACTGCAAGCATTAATGCTAGATAAACAGGTATTTTTAAAAATAGTATACTTACAAACAACTATAAAAATGGATGAAGATATAATAGGTGATTTGCTGATGTTGCTAACAACTGAATAAACTCGTACACCCAACAGTATCTATTTTTAAGATAAAGCTACAGAATGTGAAGTATCCGAACCATCTGGGTAAAAGAAATACGTTTTAATACAAAACAGCAGTCTCTGACAGTTGTTCGCAGCCTTACAACTTTATACAGGGTATAAAAATACATTTATAAATAAATGTGGTCAATAGCAACAGTGCTGAGCTTTTCACGCTGGTGGCTATTTGACGTTTAAAGTGTTTAGTGCAAAGCATGAAGTCATGCAAACCTTCTAAAGATAGAGAACCTGTTGAAATAAGCACTAGATCATCTACCAAAGAAATTTAATTACTCATACCAAAATGTATATCTTTTAGAAATCACCTAAACATTTACGTGCATGGATAAGTCACTTCAGACTCATTAACAATTGAATTATTTAATTAGGAAAGAAGTCAATACAAACAAATGTGTCCTGAAATGTCAAGTTATTTGTGGGACTTACATTGAATGGTAACTCGAAAGCAACCAGTCTCATGTTGTCTAGTCCCGAGTGCTGACCGAATTTTATTGATCATTTTTCAGTTTGGTCACCAAGTTAAGGAGACTCACCATCATGGTGAACTTTATTGGATGTTAGTTGGTTCATGAGATTGATTGAATTCCAGTGACTAATTAGTGTGAGTAATTTAGTGATACAAGAGGTCGGTCGTGCAGCAAACAACTTAATGGTAACGTCGTTGATTGTAACAATAGGTAGCACGAGTTCGAATCTGACAGGGAGCATCAGTACTCTTGAGGTTACATATACACCCTGCTGATGAGTACTAACAAGCACAAAACTCAGCATCAGAGCTTTCTGCCAACTGTTTCCAACTAAGTAACGTAGTGGGACACAGTAAATTTCCTTTTAATATGCTACTGGAACTAGGGGGATCTTATATAGGATTTTGTGTTCTGAAGAAGGATTCCGTTGTTGATATATCTAACCTGTATACTCGTTTTAGACATATTATCAGATATATAAGAGATTTTATCAGATGTGATATCACCTTCTCTACAATGTAGAAACTAGTTACTAACTTGATAGGATTATATAATCGGTAGGATAAGGTATTTGGTTTTGCACTGTATCGGAATATAATTGTGTTAAGGATATCTTACTACGTACAAGTCAAGAAATAATAACACATGGAAAACACTGAAAACATCTTTCCTTGGGAAATAAAGGTATTTAAAGATAAGTTTACTAATATGAAGTCCATTAGTGGGCAAACATCTTTGTTGCAGTAAAATTTTCTCTGGCCACTTAGATTAAAAAACTCTGAGTAGGAAACAGTTTGTCTCAGGATGGTACAGAAGCTAGTCTGTGTGAAGCATGCATACTGACAAATGGCCCAACTTAAGATATACATTTTTGAACTTGTCTGTCTGTGATTTTGACAACGGTAGACTTTAGAATAAGATTTGTGAACCTCTAATTAATTGTATACAGGCTTTCTAAAGCCAACATCATTATTTGAAAATCCCATACTTCCCAGTTTAACCTAAAAATGAAGGTGCCTGAGTGCCCCAGAAAGTTACAACGGTGCTATTCATCTGCCTTTCTTATTCAGTTTCCGTTTTTATCACTGAAGCAGTCCGTTAAACATTTATCAATGATTTCCAGTCTTATAATACTTGAATGATTGTTCAAATGCGTTCTATGCGTGCATGCAATGAAACCATGAATAACAGCCATCCCGTTGTGGTGAACAA